AAGATGTCGAAAACTCGTCTAATGCACTTTTATGCAGTGATGCATCGGAGCAAAACCCTTGTTAGTTTATAGATCTTTAAATTCTCGTGCACTCAAAGGCGTAAATCAAAACAACTTACCGGTATATTGGAAAGAAAAGTCCAAGAGCTTGGATAACTGGAAATTTATTTAAAGATTGGTTATTTAAATTGCTTTGTGTCGAACGTTATTCAAGACCAAAAAAAAATTGAGCTTCAAGCCGCTGTTAATATTAAATAACGCTCCATATCACACACAAGATTTAAATCATCTCATCGTCAAAGTACTGTTCCTATCACCTAACTTTACTTCGTTGCTCCAACCATTGGATCAAGGTATTATTTATACCTTTAAAACGTATAACATAAGAAGATCATTACAGTGGATTTTAGACGTAACCGATTCAAAATCAATTAATGTAATGGAAGCTTGGAAGAAATTGTCAGTCAAGCACTGTATGGGACTGGGACATCATATCTTTGCCGCTGAAAGAACTGAAAACATCAACGTTAAATGCGTGTTGGAAGAAGATATGGCCCTCTTCAGCTGAAATAGAAAATGTGCGAGAATCGTCAGGAAATGAAATTGGTGGCATATTAGAACTTGTTTAATCAATCAGAGGTGACGTTTTTGCAGAAATGGCTATTGAGACGTTCAAGATTTATTAGTGGAAGAAGTTGACGAAGCGAATTTGATGGAAATGGCATCCGAAGCTGCAAATTAAATCGATTCTGAGGACACTAGTACTGATGGAGATTGTGCAGTTAGTAATTTAACATTAAAAAAAAATTAAAAGAAAGCCTTAGCAGAAAAATCTCGAGTCATTTTTCGTGAACGCAGAACCTTCCGCTGTGTAGGTAGTACTAGCTATATACCGAGAAATTTACAATGACGCGGTAAAATCTAGCAAGCAAAGTAAAATTACAGGTTTTTTAACGAAGATGCAAGAACTTTAAATGAAGAAGAAAAGTTTTAAAAGTGAACGGATATCATTCCACCGAAAAAACGTTCTGAATATACTGAATAGTGGATGAGGGTGAAATTTATTAAATAAAACAGCGTTAAATAAAAATAATTTTTTTGTGTGTTGTACATATATTTATATTTTTAATAAAAATTAAGTTGCTTATGTAGAATTTAAAAAAATGTTTTAAATAAGTTTTCGGAATAACTTATTTAAAACTTTTATAATAGCTAAAACTTTATAATAACTTTTTATAATAGCTCTAGATCTCATTCAAAACAGTTTCACACAAAACGGCATTTTCTAAGAATCTAACTACCTTGTGACAGGAGGGTTACCTGTACTTAAATTTATGTACAGTATACGTCCGAGATTATAAAAATAGGACATAATGAAGTGTATTTTTAAAGACGTGAATTCTCTTCTACTTGCACGTGGGCAGTTAGACCAAAGAATTCTTTGATTCTGCAATTCTCTGGTCTGCAAAAGGTTCTTTGGTATGATAAAAGAATTCTTTAGTTCTTCTAACCAAAGGATTCATATTCTTTGGTTAGAGCTTCCATGTGTTTCCAGAAACCCACGTAGTGAAATTTCAGAAATGTTCTTTCTAGCTAAGCGTTGATGTCACGAGGTCGGGTCAGCTAAGCCTTGATGATACAGTTCGAGTGAAATGGGTTCCTGCATTTAATCGCTAACCCGGAATAAACAAGATGTCGATTTTCGAACGCATTTCTTTCTAACAGTTCGTTGTGATGATTGAGCACAAGGATAGGACACTAGCAGTAATTATCAACACACGACTAGCTCAGTAATAGTAACGGTAGTACTTAGAATAAGTCCGAACGAGACAATAAATTCAGGTACACCTGACTGACAGCAATTGACGAAGTCGAAGATCGTGCACAATTACATTGTAAGGATTATGTTAATTTTATTAACAGTTAAATTTTAAATTAAAGTTCCTTTCCTGTCAAATTCTTAACTTAAACTTACTACTTCCGGCCAGAACGTACTTTTGGAATCTTGTTGAATATTTAATGAGAACGAGCGGTATTTAAACCACGAAGTTACTTACGGAGGCAGAGAGAATCAGAGTTTCTGATTTACGCGCGTCTGCCTTTTTGGCCAATCTCTCCCTCAAAGCTGTTATTACGCTCGGCCGTACTCAGGCCCTTGCTAAGCTTTGTAGTCAAATAAGTTAAGGGGGCCAACTCGTTTTGAACCTTGATAGCTTCGGCTATTCTTCTTTAGTTAATCTTAGTTTAGTTTAATTCTTAGTCTTTTAAGTTCAAGCCCCAAGTGCGGGCTTTGCTTGTACATTCCCAGGCGGAGTTTTGTTAAACCTTATTGAAATAATAAAGGGTTAGTTACCCTTCTATCTTGTTGTTCTTGTCACCGAACTAAAGCGATTATTCGCTTATCAGTTCTTAGATTCTTCACTTCCAACATTAACTTAAAATTCCAAAGTGAGGAATTCTACAACATAGCAATTATAGGTAATCGAAAAAAGAAATGCCAAATATTGCAAACACAGAAACAGTTGTAACAGGGATAGGTATAACTAAGAAAGGGGCCATGTCTGTGTGGTATAGCCAAAATATGGATTTTACAGTGTGAAACAGTAGATACAAAAATTTATAGTACAGAAAAGCAATAAATGATTGGTATTTTTTTTTTGTACAAATTGTGAGTTGCTAAATTAGCTTAATTAGGGCGCATTACCTAAGCCGTGTATTTGTATCTTATCTCAAAAGGTTACTAAATTTTCTAAGTTCTGTGATTTTGCTCTTATAAATTGATCTACTGAGATTGAAGCCAAAGAGACTTTCAACTTCCTTCATTATTTGTAATAGTAACTCAAAGATGGTAGAGTGGGTAGAACTATGAATTTCAGGCCCATACGTCAAATTCTGACTAGTATTGTTATCTGATATATTTCAATTTATTTTAGAATCGGCTGCAGCAGCAGCCGATTCTAAAATAAATTGAAATCGAATCGGCTGCAGTTGATCGGCCGATTGATCGGCCGTTGATTGATTAAATTGAATCGGCTGCAGTATTTTCCGTATTCTGGGTGTTCGTGTTTGGATAGTTATCTGACTGGAGTGCTTGGGCAAAACTGATGCCTGGTTTAACAGTTGACGTTCTGGTAATTTTTCTGTATTTCAAGAATTTTGGACAACCCTTATACGAAGTTACATGAGAGCCAAGGCAGTTTGCACATTTAGGAATATCAATGTGGCTCTTCCCACAATTGCCAGTTTTATGGAACAATAAGAATATCTTACGACGCCTGTAGTGTACTTCGGTAAAACTGGCGGTCCCTCGAAGTTATTTCAATTATGCATGTGCTGCAAGTATGGTGTGCAAAGATTTCAAGCTTTCCGTTACTTGAAGTTTGAGTTTGCATTATGTTAATTTCCATTAAAAACGAACATGAATAGAGCATCAGAAAATCTATAAATTAACTTAAATTTGATTAAGTAACTTGAACTTAAAGTTTGATTCTATTGTATTTTTTTTTTCAAAAATTTGAAGATACATATTTAATGAAATTTTATCCGTTCTTCTCCAAAAAATAAATAGTTTCAGTTACAAATATTTGCACCAAGAATAATCGCTTTATTTGGAAATATATTCATATGTAAACAGCATTTTTTCCACAGATGAAAATTAATAAGAAAAGAACATGATTGATCGATGACCATCTAGAATCCGTGATGACGATTATCTTTAGTAATTTCCCTCAAAGGCTACAAATTTTATCAGATTCGAAACTCCAACTGTCAAGCTGTAGTGAAAAACAAAGAAGTTTATAATTATTTACGTACAAATTTTGTTTATACGTCGAAGAAAAATTCCTCATTAGATTAAGAAGGTTGTTATCATTTATTCTCAAATTTTATTCCACTAGGTAAATTTTCTCCAAAAGCTTAGGAAGTTTTCATAATTTGTTTATTTTTATATTATATTGAAGTAAATTATTTAATGATTAATTAAACATGCTAGAATTATTTGAAAGAAATATCAGTCAACGAATTTAAAATTTAGTTGTCAATATATTTGAATTGGAAAGTGTAAACAACAGAAATGTCTTACCGATGCCAAACTTTAGATTTCAGGTATAGCATAAATATAAATTTGATATTTTTTCTTTTGCGATATGATTGATATTATTATGTATGTTTCGATAAATATCTAGCAAGCGAAATTATTATTATTATTATTATTATTGTTAATAACGTATTTCATTTTGTTAAAAAAAATTCTGATTCGGAAGTTATTTTTAAATCGTGCAAGGCCTATATGCAGTTTTAGTTTGAGACCACTCTTATAACATGACCATTCAACCAAAAAACGTAAGTGGGTTCTCTGACTGCATTCAAGTTCTTTGAGCTGCCAGACAGAGCCCTATTAAAGGCTAATGTTATGATGGAAATTTTGAAATTTTAGCTATTCAGTTAAACAGAAAGTAGTGAATCACATGTGCCTGTAATTTTTCAATTGATTCTTCTTTTAGGGAATGAAAAGTTTTGATCCTTAGAGGTTTGTGCTGCTTGAATATAATTCTATCCTCCGAATAGGAATTTTGCAAGACATAAGGTAGTCTTTATAAAGGTCAGTCTTTAACCGTTATAAAGTTTTTTTTATGTATAAAAGTTTCTTTATAAAGATATTTTTTTATAAACGGTTCTTTATAAAGGTTATTCTTCCAGAAGGTCTGAGTTGCTATCATACGTAAGTTGTTACGTTATTTTCTGACACCAGTTGTTACGTTATTTTCTTCCTTCACGTTCGTACGGGGTTTGTAGATTTGGCGTGAATAATGACGACACTACTTGATGAAGTATCGAAACACACTTTATTTAGCCAATATTAATTAGGATAGCTCCAAAATCACTTTTACAGTCGTCGAAGATCTACTATAAACACACTGGAAAAATCAGCGACACAGCCTTCACACTGTCAGGCAATAACGGTAGAGACAGCTTCACTGCAAAGCACCAGAGTACAGCTCCCGACTCTGCTCGGTCGTTCTCGGAACTCCACGTACTTTTGAGATTCCCCACGCTACAACTCGCGATGCACTCGACGACACACACATCACAGCTCTCGACTCTTCGGTTCAGTCGTTCCCGGAGCATAACATACTCTCTCGACGAACTCGAATTTTAGTAAGATGCACTCGACGACCCTCTCGGCGCTCGCTGCCCGGCTGTGAACTCGATCGACTGACTAGATGAGACACTGACTCGATACTAACTAGACACACGCACACACTGACTCCAAGTTCCGCTGGATGCCCGCTGATTAACTTGCAGGATTTGCACGTTTTTTCCGGCTGTCTGAGTTAGTTTCTATAGAGCGCTGAAAGTAGGAGAATGCATGAGTGAGACCTAAGTCAGGATTGCAGATGTTGAGAGAGCGTGTTACCTTGTCACGTGAGGTGTGAAGTAGTCGTTGATACGTTGTGAGATTTCAGGTTAGAAATGCTGAAGAAAACATTAAATGTACAAAATTGCGGAAATAATTACATAAAAGGGAAATTTTTCTAGTAATCATCAGAGTAACAACATATGGAATAAACCAAATTTCATCACTTAATACAGTCTAGCAGTCCTGTAAGTTGAAGTTCGGAGTCCATGATAACGTGATGGGGGTGGTGTAAACAGAATCATGTTTTCATTATAACAGTCGAAGATGCTTCAAGAAAGAAAATATACAATAATTTTAGTAAGAGTTATAAAATAACAGAATAAATGCAGAACAAATGTTAACACGAAATACATATATACAAATTCAAGATGTCTATGTCAGAGCATACTTAGAATAAGCAGTCACATATCACGTGAGCGGAATCAGGCATTCTGATTCGCTTAGCTTAAACTTGTCCAAAACTGATGAAAAGAGTAAAATAATTAAATAATGGGTTGCAATAGCGATAAATCACTATTTTCCCATATTCTTCAATATGATAAATATAAAGAACATCAGAAATGTCAGTCCTAAAAATGCAGAAAGTCCTACAGCAACACACACTGACTGTGGATCAGCAGGGTTTGTATAGCTTTTAGCTTGTGTTCGAGAACATTCTGCGCTAAACCGGTAAGAATTCGTTCCAGAAAGTTCTCCAATCGTCCATGACATATCACCAATTTTTTATCGCCAAATGGACGATTTCTTGCCAAATGTGGCAACCCTGCCTTCCCTTGACATTTTATAGAAACCCTAAACCTGCTTTGCGGGGAAGCTCACCGCGCTTGTACATTTCGTAACAATATCGTGTGGGAAGTAATTGTGCTGCCAGTATGCATTTGATAAGACACTTAGATGGCAAAATCATCTTTCTTCTCCATATTTTCCAGAAAAGCAAGATTCTCGCACATTCTTACAACAAACTCTCTGCACCCTTTTTCTGAGTCGCGAATGCATCGCTGAGCGAGTTGTAAAAGGAAAGCTTCTGCATTAAAGATCAAGAAGATATTATTCTAAACGCACAAATGGATGCAGCGAAATCGATATCTGCCAGAAATATAGTTTATACGAATCTACAGCTGATGTCATATGAAAAAATCGAAAATCTACAATTTCTGCTCCTCGAAAAAAATTGAATGCGAAGAAAAAGTAGAGAAAGGTTGAGCACTGAGGTGTTGAAGAAGCATTTCTGGAATGGTTCGCCATTCCGAGAAGCCGTAGTCTGTCATGGTAATCTGAGTAGATGCTTCAGATAATGACAGATGAATTTGCCAGACATCTTGGAAAGACTGGAGGGGGGGGGAAGGAACACTAATTATGCACAATAATTGCAATTAAATGCTAATATGATTTTCTGTGTAAAACTAGATTTATTATTTACTTCTTTTGGTAGATGTGACAATCATAATCCGTTTTTTTCCTTTAATCAATAATCATCATTCAATTTTTACACATTTTTATGAGATAATTCCTTTTGCTTATCAAATCAGATATACTGAAACTTTTGATTGTTTGAAGTTCTATTGCATAACATTTTGGTAGAGTAGACTTTACCAAAGACATATTGGAAATTACTCCTATTTGGTGGAATAGCTTTTTTTAAAGACCAAGATCTATAACAGTAACATTTTTTTCACAACAAAAGATATTAAATTTATTATTTTTAAAAAGGAATTGAACAGCCGATTGGTTGGCTGTCTTACTGTTAAATATCCAACTGTAAGTGTGTAATCAGCAGAACGACCACTTACAAGCTTGCCTTGGCATGGGCCGAACCAGCCGAAGAACCAGTTTTTTACAGAAAAACAAATACAGGTGTAATATAGTAGACAATATATAACTCATTTTTATAACAAATATTTTCAGATTATAACATTAAAGTTTTGAAAACTGTAATTTTGAAATAAACAAATTTTGTAAATTCATTGGTTTTATAACGAAAAATGTTAAATTCGGCAGTTTTACAATAGGAGATAATGCACAGCATGCATGGTGAAAGATGATAAATGATTCTCCCAACAGAGCTCATGTATGCACATTAAAATGTTCATTAAAATCTCTGAAGAGATAAGTCGATGACATGTATGAAAATATTTTAATCACGGATACTAAATCGAAGTATATTCTTTTAAGAGACATATTGGAAGCTACAACCTTCTGGGGGGAACAAAAAGTTCTTTTTTAACAAAGGATAATAAATTAACTGTCTTTAATGATTTTTCTTGGATGGTAGTCACTACACTTTCACTTTACTTACGTTTTTCAGAATGTTAATTAAAAGATTCTATACAGAAAGCGTACATGATGAAAATATTTCAACGGTCGATATTAAAGTGTCCAATTCTTCTTTTTTCCCCCGGAGACCTGTGTAAAATTACAATGCTGTCATCCAAACCAAGATCCACGGCAGTGAGTATTATTAAATAATGAAGATGGTAAATTCATTGGCTTTAATGAAAAATGATAAACCCAATGGCTTTATGGCGATAGGTGGTGCATAAAACCTATGATGAAAGATGGTAAATTAGTCTGGCCGAGTTGTAACGAACATACATTTGCATCAGAATGTTAATTAAAGTGCCAAGGGCACGAAGCAATGACATGCATGGTATAGCCTCAACGGACGATATTTAGATATTATCCGTTTACTTTTGATTTTAACTTAAAATACCCGTAATAATATACTGGCATAATTTTCAAGAGCTATAAAACGAATAATTACAATTCAAAATGTAACTCATTTATAAAGCGAACAATGGGGTTAGCATTTTGACAACATCACCCGATTCACAGAGCAGAAACAAGGATTACCAGTAAAAATAGCAGCAATAAAAATGAAAAAAAATTTGTCATGCAGCTAGCTTCACTAGAGCACATAGCGCAGCCAAGAATTTCCTGCTTAAAAAAAGGCTAAGTTACCATCTATGTCCGTAGGTCTTTCTACATCAGCGATGCAACTTATTTGACCTTCACCGGCAGGTGGCACGCACTCTGATGAACGTAAAGCTGCCCCACGCGCATAAAATGAAATTAAAGGAAAGGAAAACTAAAAACTCGTAGATGCTGTAATATCTCTCATGGATAGGCAAATCACCTGCTCGGAAAAATATCACTGGGTTTTCCTAGTACGACGAAAAATTACGATTGAGAAAAAAATTGTTTTGTCAAAAACTCGAAATAAATGCACGTGTGAAGGAAAATACACAATGAAATTAAACTAAATATTGTAACGTAGGAAACTTTCTGTTCAGAAATTCATGGAATTTCAGTTATTGAAAAGATTTTATTTATGCCCTTTTATGACCATTACATATTATCAGAATGAATCGTCTCCAGACGCATAAGGAACATTCTAAATGTTAGAATAAGCTATTATAATAGCACTAGTACGTCGCCGGTTCTCTAATAAATCGAATAAGGGAACGCGTGAAACTCTCTGCGGTATGAAATACATGGAAATGAAAATGGAAGAATTAAAAAGTAGAGAATAAATCCGACTTTAAAGTGGTATTTACGTTTTGACACTCGGCGAAGAGATTAAGCAAACTTAAACGAAATTAATAAAAATAATAATAATAATAATAATAATATTTAAAAAAATAAATAATAAAAAAATATTAAAAAATATGATGTAGACACCACATGACTTCCTTGTATGGCCTATTAAATAATACACATTTTTTGTTGCATTTCATTTAAACTTATTTCCTCGAATTTCATTAGAGATAGCTATATTTTTCATTCATTTAATTCAGTTCTCCCTTCGAGACAAAGCAAAAATACATAAAAGCTCAAAATATCTTCATTAGAAATTGTAAAATAGAGAAAAACATAAAACCCCGAATACAGTTAAAAAAGTTTTTTAAAAAATTTACAATTAAAATTAGAGTTTCTGCTCAAACATAAGCAATTCGACCAGCGGGGCAGGTGCACAAAACTGAAAGTTTACTTTGGGGTCCTGCTTGGCAAAAAGACACTGAAGGTTCAAAAACTGACTTAATTCTCAATCCTACTGAGTTCAAATGGCAGTTCGTTAGGCTTAACATGCTACTTAAAATTTTAAATTGTTGATAATTCTATAACTGTTGCATATAACGGTGCAACTGATTGCAAAGAAAAAGGGAGATGCGCAACTACATGTTATAGCAGTTTCATATATAAAATTTCACCATTCTACGTCTACTCGTTATGTGAAATACATACACACATACGTACAAGACGTCAAGAAAATAATCCTTCCTAAATATATTTTAAATCCATTGTACAATCCTTTTTGGCAAAAATAACCGTCTATTCTGCCTGTACGTCCAGATGTTACGCAAAAACATCGTTCAAATGGTTTAGAAAGCGGTTGAAATGGATATTTTCTTTGAAATATGATACCCGATTACCATTTGATTATAATGCTTTCCCTAACTTCGTACAAGGAAGTAAAAAAATTCTAAAGCTTTCAGATTTTATATTACGCTTAAAGTGATGCTTTTTTTTAACATTTTGTGTGCTACCTTCATTTATTAAACATCATGTTTTTCGAACTTAAACCACATAAAATTCAATTCAACAGCAATATAAAAAAAATATTTAAAACTAGTATGTCCTAAGAACGTCCGATAGACAGTCTCGCGCGCTTGGACATAATTCCCCCCCCCTTTGTGCTAATTTGCCATTGCTCTCGATTTTAGAGATCAATCAATTCTGTTAATAAAAAATTCTTTAAATTTTTACAGAATGTAAAATAGATAACAAAAATTCGAATTCAAAATTCGGGCTTCCAGGTGCCCATATTCGGGTCGAGGATTACTTTGGGCAATAATATTTGGAGGCAACAGTTTGAAAAGTGATTCAGCCTTTTACAGTGATTCAACGCAAAATCCCGTTTCGAAACTAATACCCTTTCTGAGCTAACGCTCCTTTGGGCGAATAAAGATTCAACGAAGGTGAATCAATTGAAATATAACCCAAAGGCCCGGTGGCGCAGTAGCTAGCGCATCGCGCAGCAGCACCACAGCTCCGGGGCTCGATTCCCGGGCTGGGCAAGTTCGACTTAGGCTTTCATCCCTTGATTTCCATCATTTGGGTCGATAAAATGAGTACCAAGTTCGCTTGGGGAAATTAGTACTCATTGGTACACTGGGAAGTCAAAATTCTGGAACTGGAACTTGGTACACTGGGGGTCCTGCGACAAGCTGACCACTTGTTCAGGGCATATGCTTACGCACCCCGCGGGC